AAATCTAGAAGTATTATAAGAATTACGAGAAAGAACAAGAGAATGAAAGAAAAAAAAAGTCTGCGTCCTGCTGCTTCTTTTTTTGGCATTTAGTTCCCTTCCTTTCAAAAATGGGTGTAATTATAAATAATATTTTGAATTGTGTGCTTGATGAGTTAAATGGCCTATTTCGACGTGTTCTTCATAATACACGAAGTGATTGATAAATGAATTACAAAATGGTTTTACAAAGTATACTCATTATCGCTTTGTTCCAAAGTCCTATGTTAATCTGAATATACAAGTGCAAAATGGCTCTAAAAATTTATTCATCCAAAAAGTGTCCTAAATAAATATTAATCCGACATAAGTGTTTAATCTATATTTTGACATGTTTTATGCCTACACATTTCCCTGAGCGCACTCGAAACCTGATGTAAAGTGGTTTCAGCAGTGGTCTGGAGTGGGCGCCTCCAGTGATGGTCGTGGCCGTGGTCACTTTATTGGCGTCGACCCTAGACTTAATGGCGGATTTTCTGGTGTGCAGCAGGCAAGTGCTTCTTTTCCGTCAACAAGGGTCAAAAATGAAGGCGCTTGTTGCAAGCAATGTATCATCAAAACAACTTTATATCACATTATGCAATGTCATAGCTGACAGCCCCAATATGTACTCGAGGAATGATCTGCAATTTATAGCACTCTCTGCGAAAAAAGTGAAAGGCTAAAAATATGAGATCTTTTCGACCTTGATTTTCAAATGCCTGTATCTCGGCTCATTCGAAACCTTTTTGATTGGAGTAAAGACTGTTAGAATCCACAAACCTCTGCCAATAATAGCTGCGTTGAATCAGCCCGGTAGTGCAGAATACTGGAGCTCTAGAGACGATGAACCCGGCGGAGGTCGTTTCCGCATCATGTTGGTTTTTGAAGCATAACTCTTTGGAGAAGCTATCCAGGTAGTCGAGAAAGTGACAAATTATAGGCAAAAGGTCTACCGAGTAGGATGTTCGCAGGACTAATTCGTAGCCAATCTTGTCCAACTTCTGCAGGGTTGGTTGTGGAATGTGCGTCCGAGCTACCTGTCAGGGACGAGCCGGTTCCTTTATAATGAGGAATTTCGAGCATATGTGCCAGAGTTCTAGGAGTAGTTTGACACATTATCAGGAGTACTTTTTCCACATTAACAGATCCACCTGGTTACGAAAAGCTAGACCAGCCGCTGACCTTATGAAAGTCACCTCAACCTTCCTTCAGTGAAGTTTCACTTTTGCAAAGTTTGTAGAGCCTGATCGCGGTCGATCACTTCACCAAAGGTTCGTATTCTGTAGCAAAGAATCCGTTCTTTGTCGTGCGTCGCAAATGATCAAAAAGTCAGGTCGTTTTCATGGCATGAAACAAGCTAGAACGCGGCGAACGACCCTTCAAAATGGTGAGCTGTCGCGGCACGCCCTATTTGAATTTTTGGGACTTTCCAGCTCTTCCCGTACAACAAGAAAACACAATGCAAGTGCGATTAGTTTAGGAGGAACCCTCTCAATAGATTTGTGCAAACGTGCTTCAACCAGAACGTTCGACTAATCGTTGGCGTTGTCCAATCTCCGATCACCACCCTCACAATCTTTAGGGCTCTCGCTTCTTACAAAAGCTTTTTGAACAATTGCTTCAGACCATATTTATTGCGAATCTCAGCCAAGTGCGTCTATAATATCTTGACCTGCTTCCTCTCCATACTGGCCTGCTTTGAGCTAGAAAAAGGAAATCATGCAAATTTGCTCTTGGAGTATGCCGTATTCAAGGCTTCAAAAAATGACAACTAAATAATAAGGAACATAGCTAGCCTAGCTGTTAGATAGAACAAGAAAAGCTCTTCAAAACCACATACAGCTCATTGGCAGCTTGCTTGAATTCGTAACAAAATAAAGCGTTCAAAAACGAAACACCGAAAAGCGCAAGAACTTTCTTCACGACCTAATAGTTTCATAGAATAGTTCAGCAGGTATTGAAAGCCTGTTTAAGCTTAGCATTTCATCTACACTTCAGTTCAATCGACCATGGTAAAATAGTGGCCGTTCTAGGCTAGCAGGTTTCCTGAAGGTAGATAAGGCTTTTGAATTATACAGAGCTTTGAGTGGAGGCCGAAATCGGTAGCGCCAAAAACATTAGTAAATCCTATAGAGGAAATACTGTAACGCGAGCCTTCCAAGCAGGTTGTGAGCGACAAAGTTTGCAGGAAATGCAGTGACAAAGCAAGCTACGGCGTCACATGGTTCCTGTATCGAGAATGAATGACGTTTTCGTGAAGCCACCTATTTACAGCATCAGAACTATTTCAGAGGAAATTAAAAAAATGCTGATGCGGAAAAAAATTTGTGATGCCTCACATATTGACACCGCATTTACTGATAATTTATCCCCTTGCAACTTGTTTGGAATGTTTAGATTTTGGTCTCCATATTTGTAAATAACATTCTTGACTGTATCGATCTACAAAGGCTAGATTCACCTACCCAAAGATCTACGGGAAGTCGAAAGCTTCCTCTCCTAGGAGTAGAAACTCTCTGAGTTGATCTACAATAGGGTGTGAGATAGAGTTAGCATTAATTTTCTTTTTTTCTATTGCCACCACGTTCGCCGAATTCAGAATATTTTAGAAAATGGACTACATTTTGAACACTCTTTGTGGAGTTCAATAGGGTTGAAAATATGGGAGAAGCTAGGAATTCCCAAGCTCAATCGATACCGTGGCTGCTGATGATGCACTCGTATAGCTGGTACTTGGAGGTGTCACATTAATCTAGAGTGCACTCTGTCTTCAAATAATACCATTTCTTGGAGCGCTCATTTGCCACGTTCGACCCATTACTAGTTTTCTTGCGTCTGTGAGCTAATGGGCAGATTTATCATCGGCAAAAGGTAGGAAGAAAGCAGGATTCTCAATACAAAGAGTGAACCACAGCAGTTCATATTATGGAGAACAAATGAGTTGCATGTAATCGACAAATGCATTCTCCAATTTTGAAGCTTCAGTGGACGCGATAAAATGCCGAAACTGCAGCGAATTTCAGCAGCATTCAGGCAAGAAAGGCTGCTGTGCCTGTTTCAACAGAGTTCCTTCACTTCCACGGACGAAGGTGGTGTAGTGGCAGCTGGTGCTTCAGAACACGTGCTTGGTCGGTAGATCAAATCCCGCCCAAGAAAGAAGTCTCTTTGGCGTCAGACTCGTGCGTGTGGACGAAAGCGTTCATCGTTCATCGACTCACCCACGCGATCCATTGTGAAGACCGGACAGGGTCAACCCTACGTTGTTACTAGTAACAACGGGGGGTCGTACCTGGTTGAGTTTATAGGAGGGGGGTCGTATCCGCTTCAGTCGCGTGAAATTACATGTGAGTTTGTGGTGAAAGTGGAGTTTTCACGAGTAGTAGGCTAGGTGAGTTGGGAGCGCACGGGAGAAAAATTCGCCGTTTCAGCGTATATACCCCCCGCTCGACGGCATTTTTGGAGGAAAAAGTGGGCGGAGTTTGGTGGGTTGAGTGGTACCAGAATTAAATACTATAGAGAGGATGATGGTGGTCGAGGTGTCGAAAAGGGGGTCGTACCAAGTCCACCTTGGGGGAGGAGGGTCGTAAAATTTTTTTGAAAAAGTAACAACGATAGGACTGACCCTGCCTGGAAGACAATGACAACAATTTCTGCTTACTCTGCACCAGTT